GTCTTTCCTGCTGAGGGGTGTCGACAGAGAGTCCTCTCACATACCACTGACAGGACCGTGGGGCGTGCAGAACCCACTTTGAGCTTCAAGCAGAGCTAATAGCTAATAGGCTGGCTCGAAGTGACGCTGGAATGATGCTTAAAATTACGAGGAATTGAGGAAGATGCAAGTAACTAATTTTAGGTTACACTATCTCAAGCTGCCTCGTGTCCTGCGCGCCTGGACCCATCTCCAATATCACGTCACATACTCGACTACATTTGAATTGGATCACTAACATGCCTTAACTAAATTGTACATAATATTCTAGTTGGATATCCTTCAAAATCAAAAACGCTCAATATGCTATGCAAATAGGCAGAAATCGAAGTGCTTGAATGCCGCATTTCAGCGGATGCTTTGCCTCCAACGATCAATCACAGAGACCTGGGCAGGGTCAATTGGCTGTCCAGCCATGTTCACGGTAGGTCCACACCCTTGAGGCATGGCATATCCCATCCCATTCATACTCATGGTATGTTGGGTGGGATAGCCGGCGTGGGACTTGGGATATCCGTATTGCTGAGCCATCGGGTAGGCTTGGGGAATCCCATACCCCGTGCTTGGTGGGAACTGCTGCATGGACATCCGATTGCCGTACTGAGACATGCCAGGTCGCTGATTTAGAATATCATGGGATGAATACCGGTGGAGTTGGGCTGGACGACCCTGCGTAAGAGCAGCCATGCTCCGGCGTACGCGCGGGTCCTTTGTCGGCCCAGGTTGGGCACCGCCCTCCTTTTGGAGTCGACTACGTCGCTGCGCAAGAGTCTCCTCCTCATTGTTCTCCGGATCAGCTGGAGTTTCTTTGGCAGCAATGCCAGCCCGAGTATCAATTTCTGCCATTAAATCGCTGGCGAACTTGCTTTCCGAGCGGTTGTGTCCCTTCAGTCGTTGGAGCCGCTCGGCCAGAGTTTCAGTCTCGAGCTCATCACCACTCTCAGCAGCAGGCTCAGGTGGTTCAGCGGTGTAGACTTTCTCGGCTCCGTACACCGTAGCAGGGCGTCTCTCCGGCTGCGGGATGGGTTCACCCCGTAGCCTAGCTCGACGTGAGCTCAGAGGTTCATTTTCCTCCTGTTGCCGCTTCTCCATCAAGCCAAGTGGTCGATCCTCGTCGTCCGGGTTTGGCCTTTCGGGGTACAGCATAGCCAGGGGAACATCTTCATCTTCATCGCGGCCTTCCCAGGCCAGTGCGACGGGACGCTGCCGCCGTTTGTCACTCTGCTTTTGGGCCATTTCGTCCATTTCGAGCAGAGTGGTTTGCATGCCATGGTAAGGCATGGGGACCGCGGTGCGGCGTCGGTGTGCCAGCTCATGTTTTCGCAACTCGAGTTCAGCGATAAGGGTATTTGGTGGGCCAACATAGTCAAGCTCCTCTTCATCTTCGTCGTCCTCTTCTTCACCCTCACCCTCCGTAGACTGCTCGCCACTTTCAGAGTCAGTCGCCTCTGATCGCGAATCGTCGTGTTCATCATGGGCTCTGTCGGAATCGTGTCCAGCCTGTGACCCATGGCCCATGGTAAGTGCATCACCCTGCTCATCCGCATTGTTGGTGCTAAGAGGCTGACCCATGGTGTTCCGTGAGAGGCGGTTTGCTTTCCGCCCAGTCAAGTCCTTGAAAAGAGTCTTTCGCTTGGATTTCGCGTAGACGTTTGAGCCAATATTACCAGCGTAGGGGTGATCAGTAAAAGCTGACACTGGTGCATTTGCGGAAGCGTCGAGAATGCTCTCCAGCGTCGCGACAGCGGACTGCTGCTTGACCTCTACTTGCAGGGACGTGCTGGGCTGATCAAAGAACACGCTCGCACGGAGGTGAGGCGGCACTTTCGTTTGGCGTTTGTCGGGTTGCTCGTCGTTTGGTTTGTCCTTGTCAGCGCCGGGTACTACCGCAGTCGACTTTCGATCCTGAGCGACGATGGCGGCAGCAACCTCCGCACGCCGTTTGTCGTGTGCTGTATTGGTCTTGCGCGATAATTTGGGTGGGAGGTTCAGCATACGCGGGACAGGGGCTGGATAATAAACCATATTCTCTCCCGCTTGCGGCTGTTTGTATGAGTCCGGATTCCTGGCCAAAGGCGGATGGTTTAAGGGGACCTGGCGCATAGACTCGGCCCTATCCAATGGTGTGAAATGGACGCCATCGAAATCGGTGAACAGTGTGCGGGCCTGTTGGTAGGTGTCGTTGGATGCGACCGAGGCGCGTCGCTCCAGCTCTGCGGGGACTTGTTGCGGAGCATATTGGTCGTGGTGATAGTCACTTTGAGGGTAGAAAAGGGGTTGTGGAGGAGGAAGCCTAGGCAGCGAGGGAAATTCGTCCACCTCGTGTGCAGGTTCACCGTCATCGGGCTCAGAGAGCCGCGCCAGACGAGACCCCGATATGGAGCGCTGACGCGCAGGGGACACATTCGACCCATGAGCGGAGGAAATAGTGCCCGTCGGTGAGAATGCACCATTCCGGAGATTTATGGAATTTGACGCGGAACTGCATGAGCGCTTCTTCTGCGCCAGGTCCATTCGACGGATCTCGCTGCCGATGCCCGCTGAGCTCGAGCTCAGCCGCTCCGCACTTTGCTCCAAGCGCTCTACATTTCCAATGTAAGCACCTTGTATCGACTGAAGATCCGGGGTAGGGTGGCTGAGAGGCACGGAAATGTCGCTGCATGCACTGCGGAGCGGCGGTTCGGGGGAGGAATGTTGCGCGACAGCCGTATCGAGCGGAGGAATGCGGCGGAGGCTGTTGGATCGCTCGGGGGAAGGATCGGCGTCATAGTCATCGTCCTCCACCACATCGTAGCTGGTAGAAGTCATGGAACGGATCATAGAACCCAAAGGGCCAAAGCTGGAGTTGTCGGTGGTTTTCGCGATTTCTAGGTGGCTTCCTCCTCCGATGTGATCAGTGTCAAGCGGGAGCTGCTCAAATGCATGACCATGAGCAGGCGAGGGGCTGCGTGATGCAGAAGCGGATGAGTTCGAAGCCACCTCGTGGTCGATCTGAGCGACGGCGTTGTACGCCATGATAAAAGATTTGGTCACCGGCTATCCATCCAGACCAGTTCGGATTGGGCGAAACCACGATCAAGAATACCAGGGATGCAAGACAAAGAAGAAAAAAGAAAGGGGATACGAGAGAGGCGAAAACATGGGAAGCCGGGTAAGGAAATGTCTCTCAGGTTTAAGGTCTGGGCCGACTCTAATTTTGGAAGTTTGACCGTCGTACACACAATAATTGGAATGTTAAAAACAAGGAATCAAACAGACTAAGCCACTTAAGGGGCCTCAGCGTGTCTGTCTCGGTCTTCTCTCCACCATGGAGAGTCTTGGCATTAACTTATAGATATTCGATCTATACAACTGGCGAACATCCCTGAATATAAAGCCAAAACTAATCTTACTGCCTGCACGCGACCTGGATGCATTTACACAGGCAAACGCTTCCCATATGCAATTCCCAATATGCAACACCAGGGGGATTGGTCTGACCACACCCTCGATCCCGAACCAATCAAACCCTAAAATGATATCGCAAAGCCTGCTTTGACTACATCATTACAGCTCGCATTTGACGAATCAGAAAATTCTGGGGAGGACGGTTAAGCATGATTGTGGCCCGTGGAAGCAATCCGCACACTTTAATATAACTCTATTGTGAGATAGGCTTTCAAGGGTAACTAATTCTCTTCCTTATCGTGATATGTCTAAGTCATTTTACAGAGTACTTTAACTTTACTTTTCAGATGTATATTTTGCTGTCCCTTCTGAGCTTTATTATACATTGTGTTCCCGACTAACAAGACTAGTACAAGACACCTGTAAGCCCCCTATATCAAAGCGTATCAATATTAGCAGAGGTGAACCACGATACCAACCAGGCTGCAATTGCCGTGACCCGGCTAGACTCGAGGTCGCATGACTATTTGCCTTCTCATGCAGGTAGCCGGTATCAAGCGGTCGTGCATATTTAGCTCACTCTATGCGCTTATCCATATCTACTGGGCCTAGAGCTTCGGTCTACTGCATTTCTTTGAGCACAAACCTCTAATGAGCGAGTCAATGAAAACACCCGGTCCCGGTGCCCGCCAAGAATGTCGCCAGCACACTCCAAACGAAACACCCACATTTCTCTTTCGGCCATGACCTAGTGCCTTATATGTATGGCCTAGGATCTCATGTGGTCCTTTTGCAGATCTGGCACAGCGATATTGCGGGGAGATATACTTCTCCACTGATAGACATGATCGTCGGTAGATGCTGAGTCGTGCACAGGCACGGTCGCCTTCCATCAGAATCCTAGGAGAACTACGTGTAAACCCCAGAGGCAGTATTGGGTACAATCTCTTGTCGGGCAACCGCAACACGCAGCACAATCCGACTCCACAACCCAATGATTGTCTTCCCCGGAAAAATAAGCTTATTTTCGTGATAGGCCGGCCACGTGTCGACCATACATATGCACTGTGATTCAACTTGGTAGATTATCGCTGGTTCATCGCTCTTCGATTAGTCTTCAAAACACCAGCGGAATGTTCTGGCGCATTAATCTGCTCATATTCGACGCATGGCTGCAGTTGAGCTATTTACCGACCCCTGCACAAAGTACGGAATACTTCGTATAAAAACCGGGCTTACCCAGGATATTTTTCTGACGACATCATCAAAAATCAGCCTACATCCGATAAAAAGGAACTACCCTGAAGTGACTCTGAACTACCAAAACCGATGTCTGGTGTGCTTATGACCCCCCCGCTACGCAATCATCTAATTCCCCGTTAACATCACCCCCAGAACTCCCGCCAGACCCCAACCCTCTTCGCATAGGAGTAGTCCTATTCTCAGGATTCCAAGCCATAGACGTCTTCGGCCCAGTAGACTGTCTAAATGTCCTCTCGCGGAGCCACAGCCTAACATTGTCCCTCCTATCTTCAACCCTGGACCCAGTAACAACAAAAGCACCAATATCCCCCATGGCCCTCGGCCAAAGCCTGGTCCCAACACACACATTCGCCGCAGCCCCGACTCTCGACCTCCTCCTCGTCCCAGGCGGTCTAGGCACGCGCGTCCCGTGCCCAGAAATTTCAGATGCAATCGCCTATATCCGTGCTACATATCCCAGCTTGAAATACCTGGTTACGGTATGTACGGGCTCGATACTTGCTTCGCAGGCTGGGGTTTTGGATGGGAAGAGGGCTACGACTAATAAGATGGCTTGGGCGACTACGGTGGCTTATCCGGATGTTCGGTGGGTTCCCCGTGCTAGGTGGGTTGTTGATGGTAATGTTTGGAGCTCTTCGGGGGTTAGTGCTGGGATTGATGTTACTCTTGCTTGGATTGGGGATGTTTATGGGGAGGAGGTGGCGAGGGGAATTGCTAATGGGATGGAGTATACTCGTCATGAGGATTCTCGGTTTGATCCTTTTGCTGAATTGTATGGACTTTGAGGGTATCATGGGTATAGACCGTTGTGCTCTTCTGGGTAGACCCTAGACCATAATTTCTAAGATGTGCGGTATTAATGAACCAATGCACATTTACCAATAACTGGATCTATTCTGATATACTGCAGTTGGTGGTAGTTCGGAGCCCGAACTTTTGGAAATATCAACGATGCAAGATATGAACTAAGCCCAAAGATAACAAACCCCCCCCCCCTTTTTTTTTGGCCCCCTTTTTAAAAACAAGCAACTCCATAAGAAAACGAGAAAAACAACCCCTCAAAAAAAAAAGGTAAAATTCACCCAATAGGCGGTGACTTACAATTAGGGTAATAGTTTGGTTTAGCACGTGACCACGCGTCACACATCAACGCGCCTGACAGTGAACTTTGAGAACAACAAGACATGAACAGTTCAACGTGATACCATGTCCTACTATGATATTGACTCAATCTTGACCGACGCACAAGTATGTCACATGTGGCAATGGGAATTTAGCTACCAAAACAACGAAGGCTAACAGAACCCAGAAACTGCCCTGTACATTCGAGCTCGAGGTACCAGGGCTGGGAATCCTCGAGGGCAACCCAGGCGAAGATGTCTGCATCCTAATTCCTCACCTCACTCTTCAACTAGCTAACTTGTATCCAGATCAAAGCCGGAACCCGGATTGATCTACCATTATGGCTTGGTGAAATGCTCTCGATCGGGTAAGGCCCCCGCCCAACTCATCCTCAAGCATCTACGTGAGAAGTCCACCATCTCTGATGTGATATATACAGAGCACGGCTGGGCACATCCCGTCTAGTCACGCTCGACATGCCCGAAGCGCTCTCAGAGCGGGTGATGAATGCACTAAAGGCAGACCCCCGCACGATCGACCTGCGCGCATTAGCACCGCATTTCTACAATCTCAGCGAACGCATTCTCGAACTCTTCGAAGAAGAAGAGATGGTCGAGGTTCTCGGCGATGTAAGTGGCTATCCCGTATCTTGCATTGAGGCTTGTGTTCAATGTTCTTGACTGGGTTGGCGCTGACGATATGCTAGACATTCAAGAAACGGGCGGCAGAGATTGCAGACCACGCGCACAATTCACGTGGTGCGGTTGGTGATGGAGTTGATTTCCTTCGTGGTTTGGATGAGACTGAGCGACAATGTAAGTTGTGGCCTGTTTAACTTCGGGGGTGTTTTTGGGTGTATGTGATTGCTGACGAGGTTGGGTAGTGTTCCGGGCTGCTCATGATCGAGCTAAGGATATGCGGATTTGGTCTGGAGAGGCGAAGCGGAAATGATAACGTTAGGGTTTGTGATACATGTAGGGCAATTTTCTCATGGACTGAGCTGTGCTCGTCTGTGGGGGGTTTGATAGATACACTTTATTTTAACTCTGTTCAGTTTGATTATTTACCCTTGTAGGCTGCTGGCGTAGGACAGCATTGTGGTTCATCCTACTTTACTTCATCCATCCACTTCCAAGGTTGAGTACTAGACAGTGCTTGTAGATGATTGGAATACTAGAGCAATATATGAAACTTTTCACAGGATGTCTAAGTGGATATGAGCATGGTTCCTCATTTTAAGATTTGTGACGTGGTGGATTATTGTCAAAGTTGACAGATGAAACCCAAACGGACGACACATCCAAAAGTCTGGGAAGAGTGGAGACGCCACGCGAGCCGCGAACTGGGATTACCATGGACACAGGGATCGCCTGGGAAGTATACAGTTATAGTAAACACTTCTTCCCCAGTAATTAAACGTTAAATGTCCAGACCAAAATGTGGCTGATAACTAAATTAAAGGGGATCCGTAACGATAAATTAATGAGGTCACTTCCTCTTGCAGGGATTAAACTGATCGTTTCAAAGCCGAGAATAGTATTGGCTTCCTATTTCGCCACTCAGACAACCAAAGACCAAACGCCCCTCAGAGTAAGGGAAAGCTGAGACGGGTTTGTCCCAGGGACACCATCCGATTGGCGACTCTGATGTCAGGAACACTTAGCGTACTTAGCGTACTTAGCGTATGCAAAGTGATCGCCAGCCTAAATCTAGCAGGGGGCTGGGAGCAAAAAATTGAGACGCCTTTTCCATTCCAAACCTCCATTCTTCCATTATTCCATACTTCCATTCTTCCATTCCTTACCTTTTTAATTTCCAAAGCCCTGGATAATAATCCAAACAATAACAATCCGGGGAGACTTAAGGGCCTGTTAGCCGAGATTGACTGGTCACAATCTGTTTGCATCCCCTCGCTTCATTCGCCCCCCTCCGCAAGTCTCGACAACCTCCCTTGGATCTCCCTTGACTCTGGCCCTAGAGACTTCATAGTCTCCACAAGTTCCACGGACCTGCTTCTGATTGCTTCTCGGCTGCAACATATCTGCATCCCTCACATTGTGCTGCCGGCTGGTCACCCACCCCATCTGATCATCCAATACATTGTCTAGCGACCGCCCAATTGGCGTCAAGTCTCCGAGATACATTGAATCTTCCGATGCGGCTGGATTGTTGCTGCGGTACCCACTGATTGGCCTGGACGCCGCTGTGCCGTGTCCAATCTGGTGCTTGCTCGGCACGTCAACTATGCACGGTACCTGCAAATTATGTCTGCAGCTATGATGGAAGGGACAACTCAAACGTCCTCGGCTGCTGGACAGCCCACTCCTTCACAATCTCGTCCTTCGCACTCTCGCCCTGCAGTATATCATAGCAAACCTGCACCTTCGAAGCGCATTGTCTCCAAAGATCATTCCCAGTGTTAGTGATATCTCATTCCGTTCCTAGTCGTCTGGAGTTGCCACATCATATCCAAGCTGACCTTCCTCCAGATCCGTCTGAACGTCCGCAACACCCATCACTTTTTCGTGTGAAGGGCCGAGACAATATGTTCACTCCGCCTCGAATGAGTGCCGAGGTGTCGTGGCTGGGAGACCAGTCTCCGGCTCTCTCTGGCCCAAGGACCCCTTCTCGCTCATGTGGTATGCCGCCATGTTCAGTTTCATGCTCTCAATCACAGAATGCTGATTCTAGGTGATATAGAAACGCCTGAACCTGGCACTCCTACATTGGTGAATCCCGCGTCTGCTTTATTGCAGGATCTTCTCAAGGAACAACGCGCGCATCGGAGCTCCCGAGGCCCCAGTTCAGACCAATGGGAAGACGCTCCTCGAACTCCAGAGGGAACTCGAACACAGGACGACACTGGATCCGAAAAGGCGCGAAAGGTAAATGATGTCTGTAATGCTGGCTTGAAAAAGCCAAAAGAGATGGGCATTCGGGAAATGGATCAGGTATGTTGCAAAATTGGAGATCGATGGGCGTGGGCTCATCAATTTGCAGTATGTTTCGAAAATGAACAAACTGAACTTCGATTTGAAACTCGAAGTCTTTTATCGCGCCCAACAGATGAGTGTCCTCGAAAAGAAAGTGGAGCGAATGGAGGAGATGGAGGAGGAACTTGCCCGAATGCACGACCTGGAAGCTGAAGTTGAGGAGCTTCGCTCCACCGACAAGGAGAACCAGAAACTGCGAGAATCCAACGAGCAACTCCGCAGCGAGCTTGACAAGCGAGACATAGCAGTTACCGAGGCCGTCGAGCTCATCTGCCAATTGGAATCGAAGATTGATGTGCTGGAGAATGGCGGACGAGGCTCAAGAATGAGCATGTCACGGCCAGTGACCGCCGATGGGCCCGGAGTCTCGACCCCCAAGGCCCGGACTATGATTGAGATTCCAGAAAGGACCTCGTCGAAACGAAACTCCAGTACGATTAGTCTTCCGAGACGGCAAACTTCATCTGAACTGCGGAAACTTTCGAAAGCGCCGTCATTCCTCCGAGCAGGTAACAAGAGCACTGCAACTCTACGAAGCCTTTATGAACCCGAGGAAAACCAATCGCGCTCGGTATCGAGTCGACTTACCAAGTCAAACAGCTTCAACACGATGACGGAGATCGAGCCCGAATCGCCCAGATTGAGTGTTCTCAGTGAATGCAGTGAGCTGGATCCGTTTGGCACACCAACGAGATGGGACCATTTCGATCGGCTTGAAATCCCAGTTCGGAAAGCACCTTCAACCACAGGCAGCCTGGATAGCTACGTCGCTCCTGCGGAACTGGAAGAAAGTAAAGAGGGCCGGATTGATCGCTGGATGCAGTCAAGAGAGGATATGTCCCAGACTATTATCACGAGGCGCAGGAACAGGGCATCGTGTGATGCCTCCAAGGCCGCTCTCCCTAGCCTTACAGCAGATCTATACTCTCAGAGGCCTCGCGGACGTGGACGATTGGATGCATCGCTTTTCGGAGGCGTCAGACTTCCTCCTACTCCTGACACCATGAGCACAACATATGCTATCGGCACAAACCGCTCAAACGGCAGCATTGCAGCCAGAAGAAGCCCGCAAGTTGAGCACGATATGTGCTTCCCTGGTAGACGGCTGGATCGTCCACGCTCAGCAGATGAAATGACCGCAAGTCGCCCAAGCTTCGATGGGAGTGAGGTCACCGACAGCATGCAGATCAATTGCAGTGATACTCCACGCCTTAGCCAAATGACTCTTGAATCACCTACTATTCTGCCCGCCTTCAACACTGTCTCTTCCAAAGCTAGCGAGCTTCTTGGACCTGGAAGCCCTAACAACCCTGTTATTGAAAGCTTTGCAGGTCTACACCAAAGCACACCGAAGCAAGCATCGACTCCTACCATCAAACGCATCCGCAGCCCAGTCAAGGCCATGACACCAGAACCCCAGTCAAAGGACGAGGCATCACCACCACTGACACCACAAGACTGGGTCGCAGCCGCAAAGCAAGGCCCACGCTCCCGGAAAGAAAAGTCGCGTGCCACAGGACTCGAAATCCAAGAGACACAGTTATCGCCTGGCAAGGCAACTATAAACCAAGCCGCCTCTCACGACACCAGCAGCATAATCTCAGCCATAAGCAGCGAGCCTGAAGTCCCAGGCATCCCAACGCTAGACATGAACACCCTCGACATCCTCGAACAACCCCTGGAACTCCCCCAAGCCGAATGCCAACCAGAGCCCGAATCCCGTCGACGCCTAAGCTTCCGGCCCCCATTCTTTAGCCGCTCAAGCAACAACGGCCCACGATCCCTCCAAGCATCCCCAATCCCAAATGACCTCGACGAAGACGACGAAGACGGAGCTCCATCACCCATAATCCCTAAAACAAGAACTATGGGCGGTGTATCGCGCAGACCAATGTCTCAAATCCTCATTGATTCAAATGATCTATACAACAACAAATCCCTACCTTTACCTCGCGACGGACCAACCTACGCCCGACCCCAAACCTTTCGCTCAAACGGCCTCCCACCCTCCTTCACAGAATCAGCACTAAACAGCCACACAACCTCAGCCACGATCTCCGGCCGCCCGTCTACATCCCACGGTCCCGGTCTAGCGACAGAGCACAAACGTCGTAGCTCGCTCGGTATCTTCGGCTGGATGAAGGGGAAAGCCCTCTCTAGTGCTGGTACCGATAAATCGGCTGATACAGCGAAAGAACCGCGCACGCTTTCTAGATTGATGTATGAGAGTGGTGATGGAGCTGGAGAGAGTCGTGCCTTGACGCCTGATTCGTTTGATGCGCCTACTACTTTTGTAAGGCCGCATTCTGAGATGGAGATTCTTCATGGGGATTATGGGAGGAGGCCTAGGTATATGGGGCGCAGGGCGAGGAGGGGGTAGGGTTTGTTTGTTGGGATTTCATATCGTCTCTGGATATTGTTTGGTTATGCTGCTGGCTCGATCGTTATTTTCTTTATTTTCTGCACAACTTATGCTTTTTATTTTTGTATTATATGATACCCCAGTTTGTCTATATATCATCAGCAGAAACGGCAGCGGCATGGCTATTTTATCTCTCGTTCTTGATTTATGCTTGGTTGTCGATTTTCTTTTCCATCGTTCTGAATTATGCGGATCATGTCTGGCTATTTTGCATTATTGGGAAGTTCTCAAATGGGGGTTTTATATTCATCCTGCTGGCGGGATCATATTGAAGTGGAGTTCATAATGGTTCATGTTCTGTTTTGAAATGAAATGCCATGGTTACTGGAATGACTGACTTGGTTTATATTGCTCTAGCTGTTTATTTATCGTCTACTCTCCGTCTATTTGAGCTTATATTTTTCTTATACCTGTCAGACTTGAAGCCTGGTATGGAGTAGATCTTCTAGGTAACGTATATCAAAAATTCAATGTCAATTTAGATTTCATCCAGTCAAATTAAGCCCACATGAGAGACCGCACGTTTGTTTCCTCAT